TCCCGCGGGCGTCGCTCGGCGGCGGGCGCTGCCTCCGCAGGAAGCGGCCCCGCGCCCGCCCCTCCCGCGCCCGGCGACGGGCTCATGCACTGTGCGGCGCGGCGGCGCGGGCGGCGGGATGGCTCCGGCTCCGCTCCCGGCGGCGGGCGCTGAGCTGCGGCCCCCCGCGCTGCTGCCGCTGCTGCTGTTGCCGCTGCTGCTGCCCGACCGTGCCGCCGGCCTGGAGGTGCAGCGCAAGTTCCTCTCTCCCACCCCCACCAACAACTTCGCGCTGGACGGCCCCGGCTCCCGCGTCTACCTGGCGGCCGTTAACCGGCTGTTCCAGCTGTCGGGGGGCGAGCTGGCGCTAGAGGCGGAGGCGGCTGTGGGGCCGGTGCTGGACAGCCCGCTGTGCCACGCGCCGCAGCTGCCACAGGCTTCCTGCGAGCACCCCAGGGTGCTCACCAACAACTACAACAAGATCCTGCAGCCGGACCCCGAGCAGGGCGTCCTCGTCGTCTGCGGCTCCATCTACCAGGGCCTCTGCCAGCTGCGCAGCATGGCCAACATCTCGGCGGTGGCCGTGCGCTTCCCGCCGGGCGGCAGCGACTCTGTCACCGTCTTCCCCAGTATGCTGAACGTGGCGGCCAACCATCCCAACGCCTCTACCGTGGGGCTCGTGCTGCGCCGCGGCGGCGGCGGCGGGGCGCGGCTGCTGGTGGCCGCCACCTACACCGGCTTCGGCAGCCCCTTCTTTCCCCGCAACCGCAGCCTGGAGGACCACCGCTTCGAGAACACGCCCGAGATCGCCATCCGCGCCCTCAACGCCCGCGGCGACCTGGCCAAGCTCTTCACTTTCGACATCAACCCGTCCGACGACAACATCCTCAAGATCAAGCAGGGCGACAAGGCGCGGCACAAGCTCAGCTTCGTCCGCGCCTTCCTGCAGCGCGGGGCCGCGCCGCGCGCCCGCCGCCCCTACGCCTACCTGGCGCTCAACAGCGAGGCGAACGCGGGCGACAAGGAGAGCCCGGCGCACAGCCTGCTGGCCCGCATCTGCCTGGGCGAGCCGGCCGAGGCCACCCTCAACGGCAGCGGAGAGACCAAGAAGCTGACCGAGTCCTACATCCAGCTCGGGCTGCGCTGCGGCGGCGCCGCCGACGCCTTCACCCGTCTCGTCTCGGTCTTCCCGGCGCGGGCGGCTTGGCGCAGCCCCGCCGCGCCCCCCGGCCCGGCCCCGGCCCCGCCGCCCCCCGAGGAGCTGCTCTTCGGCGTCTTCGAGCGGGCCGGGGCCGGCGGGGCCGGGGGGCGGCCGCAGTCCGCGCTCTGCGTCTTCCGCTTCGCCGAGATCGAGGAGACGATCCGGGCCGCCCGCAACTCCTGCTTCGTCAGCCCGGCCGCCGGCATGGTCACCGTGCTGGACAGCGTGGTGCAGGGCACCGGCCCGGCCTGCGAGAAGAGGAACATACAGGTACGGCGTGCGGCGGGTACCGCCGGGGGGGGAGCGCGGGGAGCCGGCGGGGGGACAGTGGCCCCGTCCCGCCCCGTCCCGCCCCGTCCCGCCGCCGCTGCTGCCGCGTCCCCCGGGGCGGGCGGCCGAGCCCTACACCCCGCTCTCCCCGCTCCTCTCCCTGCCCCGCGTTCCCCGGAGACCACCCCCCCACCTGCCCGGGGACAGCGTCGTTCCCACGCCCCGTCCCCGGTGCCCCGCTCCCCGTGGGTGCCCTGCGCGACGGGGGTCTGTGGGCATCACCGGCCCCACATCTCGTCCCGCGGCGGGCAGCCCTGCCGGGGACCGTACGCTAGGTGCCTTGGCTCCCTGCGTTCGGGACAGAAGTTGGCCACTGTCACAGTTTGTTACCAAGTGGCCGTAAATGTTAGCGCCAGACAGAGATGTCTGTTTTCCTTTTCACTAAAAACGTGATGCTTGAGAAAAAGGAGAGAAAAAGGAGAGAAAAAAGGTCTGCTTTAATGCTGCATTTTTTCCTTCCTCTGGGAAGTGTGCATAACTCAGCTCCATCAAAGATTTTGAAAACATCTGTTTGATTTCAAAGGCGAGGTAGAGCATTTGGGCTTGGGCTTCCTTGTGCAGTGCCAGTGGCAGAGAGAAAGGTTTCCCATGGTAACAGGAGTGTTTAGTGTGGCATCTCCACGCTGTGGTAAAATATGTAGCCTTAATGCACTGCTTCATAGACCTACTCTAGCAAAGTTTAATAGTTTTTCCCTGATGGCAAAGTCATCCTGTCAGCCAGGAAATCTGGTAGTTTGAGGTGATTCCACACTCTCAGTCCTGACACCTTGGCATGGTCATGGCTCTCAGAGGAGTCACTGGGAGTCAAGAATCCTATTTACAGGATGCGAAGGCACCCTCAGTTCTTGTTGGCTGTGGCTGATGCTCTGCATCCCTGCAGATCAGCCCCTCAGGATTGAATCCCCTGGCAGGATTGAACGGTCTCTACCGGGCAGGTCAAGCGGCAACATTGGGGCTGAGGCTGCTGGAGGTGCCCGGGGAGTGAGCTTGGTCATAACTGAAAGTCAGTGGTAGAAGTACCACTCACCCTTGAGCTACCCCGGGGCTCCAGGACTGCTGGGGAGATACTGTTTTTTCTAACTTTTCTTCAGTAAAGAAGATAATCTTGACTAATATCAGTCTGTTGATGTTGAAAGTGTCAAGTGCTGTGTGTGATAAGGTATTTAGACAGTTAATTCCCCAGTGACTCCAGGGAGATTGGCACTCCTTCTTTGTCTTGGCCTGTCATACTGTTCCACTGTAAGGCATGCTCCTGGTAGTACCCTCCTCTCTGAGAGCTCCCTGGGTAGGCAGGGAAGGAGACCAGGATGTTGTCAGTGATGCCACAAAGGCTGTCTAAGAAGGACACTGTGTTCCTGAAGGGGTGTGTGACAGGGGACATGAGGGTTGGGGATGTGAGCTAGAATCACTGAGCACTGCCAGCCCATTGGGAGTCAGTGGGAACCCTCCATGTTTGCCGCTGTGGCAAGATCAGGCTGCAAGAAAATTTATTCCTGTGGAGAGAGCAGTATGACTGGTGGTGATATATGGTGGATGGTGAGATTGGGTTCTGGTCCCAACTGACACTGCTGCTGGCCTTGGACCAGTTGTTTAACCTGAGGTACCTCAGTGTCGCACATACTCCTGTATTTCTTACTATTATTCAGAAACCCAACTCATTTAGTGTCATATTGCATTTGTAAAGCTGCTTTGAGATCCTTTGATGTCAAGTACAGCAGGGTATAAATGAAGCATAACATTAATATTCGTTCATGCCTAATATTTCTACATTTCCCATTTATTTGAAGCATATTCCTCTAAAATCGCTGACTGAGCCTGCTGGGAAGCCGTCCTACCAGTCAGAAGGAGAACCTTTTACTTAATCATTAGAATTGCCAACAAGTTAACAAGCTGTTTTCGTTTTCAAGTCCCAGAGTGGCAGCATCAAGAGAAGAGTTGTAATATTTGGTGTCTTTGTGCTGCAAAAACCTAACATCAATTTCCACCTTCAAGACAGCGAAGACTCTAACACACTTTGTGTCTCAGCCCTAGAAATGCAGCAGGAAAATGTATTAAAGCAGCAGCTGGTCCGGTGGAGCAAATCAGGGTCTATCTGCCTTCCCATTGTGAGCTCCACTTCTCCTTTTAGTGGGTTTCCAGTTTTCCTTTTGCCTGTGCATCACTGATAGGTGCTCTGGTGTTAGCAAGTATGGCTCATTAGTTCTTCCTGAGGACCAGGCAGTTGGGTTTTAGGCTCCTTTTGGAAGAAAAAACCCCGTAATGTTGGCCTGATTCATTCCGAGCGCGTGCTCAGCTGAAGTAGTTGGTTGTTACAAATCCGGAGCACGGGCTGTTAGGCGTAATGCGGTGTGAAAGGAAAATCATTGCCCCCTTGTGTGCTCTCCAGTCTAATTGAATGCTTCTCTCCTGCAGCACTTGCTGTGACTCAGCTAGGGAGCTCCAGTGCTTACCTGCCAGTGAGGGTTTTTGGGAGTGGGCAGTTAACATGCCAGCCTTCCCTGTCCATCCCCACAGCACTGCTGCTCAGTGCCAGTCCGTGCCGGACCTGGCTCCTTATCCTTCAGCACCGTGCTGAGAGGCCTGAGGGAGGCTGGCACCGAACGAGTGGCTTTGTCCCTGTGCACACTGATGTGGTGCCAGCCACTTGTTTGGTTCCCACTGTGACCATGTGGCACTGACCACACAGAGGGCTGTGGAGGGTGGATGGGGCAGGTGGACCTGGGGACAGCACATCTTTGCCAGCTGGCTGATCAACCTGTGTTCCCCAGGTTGGGCAAGGGGAGCCACCAGCTCAGCCTGGGAATAGTCCCCTTGCTTTGATAGAAGTGCTAACTTGCAATTAAGCTTAACGGCTTTGTGAGACGCAGAGAAAATGTGCAGAGGAGGATGGCCTGGGTCAGGAGTGGGGGGCGGTGGTTCTTCTCAATGAGCATTGCTAAAAAGTCACATAGGGAGGAGATGATTTCGCAGCGCAGCTCAGGGGAAGGAGGACTTGTGAGGGAAGGATTTAGGTTGGTTGGGTTCTTGCACCGAGAGTGAGTGGGTGAGCTCTAGGATTGCTTTCCCTCAACAGAAATAGCTTTTTATAATGAATTTTGTGTCAAATGCTGGTCTTTGTAACACATGCAGCTAAAATGGAATACTTGCATGGAATCACTGCGGCGTGTTGCCCACTCAAAGCCCGTGTGGAATTTGGACTCAAGCCCCCATAAGGGAGGAGTATGAGTTCTCTGGAGCAGACTGCCTGTAACAGTGTTTGCAGCAACGTGCTGACAGAGCTTATCAAATTCCGAGGACACTGTGTGGGTTTACTTCATATTTGAGCTATTCTGCCCCAGCAGGATCAAGGCCCAGTGGGTTTGAAGGTCATGCTGGCTGCGTGGCTGGAGTGCGGCGCAGCTGTGGGATGCTGGAGCTGTTGTGAAAGCAAAGTAGGCAAGAGCCCATCCCCAGTTTCCCACTGGCCCGGGAGCAGTGGCCGTGTGGGGTGTCCCAGCACTCTCCCCCTTGGAGCCCCCAAAACCAAAGGTTTTCCTGGCTGTTCCTTTGGCCACGCTGCGTCACTGCCATGTCCCAGCAGAGTGGAGCCCTGACAGTGTCCTCTCACCACTGCTCTGTCTCCCCATGGGTGTTTTGGCAGGGGTCATAGCTGAGCACCTTTGTGCCGCTCCAGCCAGCAGCTGCCTTTTTGGGCAGGGAGATGAGGACCCTGCTGACAGCCCCAGCCCCACTCTCCTGGCCGTAGCTGTAGCAGAAGGGCAATGACTGTGGATTTCCAGGCATCTCCACAGACCTTCCCTTTCTGCGTCCAAGCAGTGGCTGACGGGGGGGTCTGAGCTGAACACAAAATAAAATGCACTATTTGATGAGGAAGCGCGCTTGAGGAAAAGCTGAACTGG